ACAACCCACTTCTTCGGATGCATCCGAAGAAGTGGGTTGTAGCCCACGAAAGCTTATGCTCTAATAAATTTGTTAGTCTCTAAGGTGCCACAAGTACTCCTGTTATTTTCTCAGCAGATGGGTATTTTGCCAATCCTGGCTAACCAGCATATCCTGGATTATTTGCTTCACCTGAAGCATTAAGGCCTCTGTTCCCTTAGAGTTCACCTGGCAACTATCCCCACATTCCACCCACCAATAGATGGCAGATCAGAGATTTCTAACCCGATGATCATCAGATGCTTAAATGGCGTGGACAGGCTGAAGCCCCACATAAAGGATCCCATCCGCCCATGGGACTTGAATTTGGTACTAGCTGCACTTGTGGAGCTACCTTTCGAGCCGGTGGCGACCACTTCTTTCTTACATCCGTTTACGAAGGTAGCATTCTTGGTGGGCATTTTCTCCACGGGGAGGATGATGAATTTCTGTGCCCTGGTTGCTGACCCTCCATGTGTCCTTTTTTATAAGGACAAAAGTGTACTTGCATCCTCATCCCAAGTTCCTCACTAAGGTGTTTTTTTTTTTTTTCATCCTAAGTTTCACTTTAGTGAAGCCATATACTTACGAGAATGTGGCTTAGGAAAAAAGGATGGTAAGAATGAAGAGAGGCTTCATAGTTTGGATGTCAGAAGGGCATTGGTGTTTTTACTTGGACAGAAGTAGGTCTATTAGAAGGTCTACCAGGCTGTTTATTTCAGTTGTGCGCATAAGTAAAGGCTTCCCAGTTTCTTTGCAACTGATTTCATTGTGGATTTCATCCTGCATATGTCTGTGCTATGACAGTGCCAAAGTATCCCACCAGGAAGGGTGGTAGCTCACTCCAAAGAGCCCAAGCAGCTCCCTCTGCTTTTTTGGCTCCGGTATCGATATGACATTGGTAATGCTACAACATGGTCGTCATTGTATACTTTTACAAGACACTGTGCTATATCCCAGCAATCCAGGAATGATGCGAAATTTGGGTGAGTAGTTCAATTGTTCAGGTAGACACTGAAACCCTTTTCCAGTCTCAACAGTTTATCACCTGAAATGGAATGGACATCTACAATCCCTTGAAGAGAAAACTATTACTAACTTCTTCTGTAACCATTCTTCAAGATGTCCATTCCATGACCCATCCACCTTCTCCTCTAAGCATGCTAAAGGCACATGAGCTGCACCAAGCGGTACCGTCAAGGGAAAAACATCTCTGGCTCTGGTGCACTAGGTGTGCACACACCTGAAGTAGAATGGACCTGTGCAGCACATCTCAAAGAACAACAGCTATAGAAGAGGTAGCAAGGTTCTCTTCTCCCCCGCCCCCCCCATAGGCCACAAATTCAGTAAAAATTTCTGATCGTTACTGTTCCTGGCCAGATTTGAACCTGGAAACTAGGAGTAAGATTGAATTTACCATTACTAGTCCTCAAGCTACTCCCCCTTTGACTTTCTAATGTTGTTTAGCTGTTAGCCTTGATAGACACTTATCAGCCCTCAATCTTCCTATATTCATCCAAGAATCCATCAGTTATACTGAAAGGTACCAGTTTAGAGCAAGAGGTTTCTTATCCAGTTGTCTTCTTCAGATGCTATTATTAATGAAAACTACAACTACCTAAAAGGATTCCTAGAAGATTTGTCCCCTCCAGAGCGAAGTACACTCATCCAGGACTGGGACACAGCGGGGCTGGTTTATTTGGACTACATCCGGGTCATCGAGATGCTCGACAGGATTCAGCAGGTAATTGTGTAAAAATTCTGGTTTTTTCGGTGTTCATATGAACAGTTTTTTATTTTTAAAATAGCTGCATGTTCACTGTTTAGTAAACCCTTAGATACTCCCTCACAGGCATGGGCATGTCAGTTTTCTCTTGCATATATTTGGACACTTAGAAATATACTAGGGATTTCACAGAATAAGTGGTCTCTGCCCTGAAGAAGTCTTAATTCAACATGACAGAATCAGGTGAGGGGAAGGAAAGGGAGAAAGGGTAATGACGACAAAACCATGTGTTTACCAATGGGGCACCCGCACATCTCGATGGTGCTGCTGCTTTACCTTTTCCTCCCTCTATATCTATATATATATATATATATTTTTTTTTTTGCAAGCTAGACAACAGAAGTTAGTTTTCATCTGCTCCTTACAAACATGCTGCAAAACTAAAACTACTTTGTGTTGATGGGTTCTTTGGCTTGGATTGCCACAGTCAAGAACTTCAGACTTTATATTCTCTGCTAAAATATTTGTTCTAACTCTTATTGGCATGGTAGCCTGGTACAGGAGTCCCCAAAGAGCCTACAAATTGTTCTTTTTAATTGAAGCCATTCTATTGTGTAATTGACTGACTGTCTTGGGTTTGCTTTCAGCTGGATTGTTCTGCATATGAGTTGGAGAGGTTACATACCAAAGTGACGTCGCTATGCAACAGGATAGAACAGATACAGTGCCACAATGCCAAGGACCGATTGGCTCAGTCTGGTAAGGCTGTTTGTACAGTCATAGGTGTGTGGGGCAATGCACACAGGGAGATAGTCAAGCTTCTCAAGGCAGGGATCTTACAACTAGGGTTGTAAAAGGTTAACCAGTAAGCATAGTCTTATTGGTTAATCGCCTTAACCATTAACCCCCGTGCTGGCTGGAGGGGTAACGCCTGTCTGGAGCAGCCCTGGCCTCAGCCGCTTAAATAGTTAACCGTTTAAAGGACGTATTTTTAATTGTTTAAATAGTTAACTTTTTAAATGGTATTTGCATCTCAACTTACAACCTAACCTGACTAATACTGGCCATCACACCATAATGCCAGAATTTATGGCTGTATTTTGCTTTGGCTTGCATTTCCTGCTGTAGGGCTGGAGCAGGTGATAAATGTTGCTGTTGTGGCTGCTTTACATGTATCTGGCATTTTATTTTACTCTGTTTACTGTTCATCTGTGGCTAATTTGATAGGTGTGCTGTTCCAATGGCCTGTCAGTATTAAGTCCCTGTAGGGCTCTAGAGACTCAAAAACAACCTGCATATAAAGCTACTAATACTGGTACAAAATAAATTGATAATTCTCAGTAACACTGAATGGAACCACTCAGCTGCCAGATTGTGGTAAATGACTGACCACCTTCTGTGTCTTTAGTAATAGCCACAAAGGCGCTGCAGTACCCTGCATGCTACTTGCCACTTCTCTCCTCCTGCCTTTGGAGATTTGTCTTTGCACCCATTTAACTAGGGCCATCAGCAACTAGCTGTCAATGGTAGGTTTCTTCAGCCTTGGGATTCTACCCACTTGCAGTCTAATTCAGGCAGACACCTAGAGAAGTAAGAGGTAGTCACAGAATTTAAGGCTAGGGGGGGGGACAACCAGATCATCTAGTCTGACCTGGCCACCAACCCCACCCAGCACCTGTACACTAAACTCAGCAACTGAAATGAGACCAAAGTATTACAGCCCCCAGGAGAACAGACTATTATGGGCCACAGGGAGAGAATAAGAGGGACCTAGGTGAGTGATTTCTGGAATATTCTAATTGTAGAGCCACTTAAGTTGAATGCCACCACTCTGTCCAAAGGTATTAGCTCTCCCTGTGGCCCATAACAGCAAGATAACTATTGCCCTGAGCACCCAAGAATAGGTTAGGGATACATCTTCACTGAAGAAGGGTATTTACTCTGGGATAACTAATGCATGTTGGCTCTCCCACTGTGAAAACATAAAGCAGACAGGGCACTTCATTTTTACAATGAGATCAAGTAGTAGAGGTCCCCTACAGCCTGGGGTATGGGGCTGACCTTGCCTAGCTAGCTTGCGGTAAACGCTACCAGTGCCTTGTTTCTCCACTCCAGATTTTACAGCGAGGTAATTTATCCAGCAATCGTTATCTTGCTGTAAAAAGTTTGGAAAAAACCCCAAACACCTTTGTGTCAGTGAAGACAAGCCTAGGTACACTGATGGGAGCAGGCAGTATTGAAGAGATTCATAGATTCTGGGACTGGAAGGGACCTCGAGAGGTCATCGAGTCCAGTCCCCTGCCCGCATGGCAGGACCAAATACTGTCTAGACCATCCCTGATAGACATTTATCTAACCTACTCTTAAATATCTCCAGAGATGGAGATTCCACAACCTCCCTAGGCAATTTATTCCAGATCAGTGATCAGAGCAGTGGAATGCTAAAGGAAGTATTTGATTGGACACAGAAGCTGCCTGACTCCAGATTTGGCCTTTGCACTGCTGTTTAAATTAACTCCTGATGGAGAGGAGGTTTTCAAATACTCAGCTTGTTAGACCTCTGCTGCCTTCAGTCTTCAGGATTCTGTGTGGGAGGTGGCTAAATTCTCACTGATTCTCTGCTCACTTGCAGATATGGCCAAACGTGTTGCTAACCTGCTGCGGGTGGTCCTGAGCCTACAGCATTCTCCTGAACCTGCCTCTGACTCCACGCCCGACGTGCAGCGAGTCCCACTTCGCCTGCTTGCTCCCCACATTGGCCGGCTTCCCATGCCAGAGGACTATGCCTTGGAGGAGCTGCGCAGTCTCACACAGTCGTATCTACGAGAACTGACTGTGGTGACTCAGTGAGGCCTGCTTGCTTCTACAGACGGACTCTTTTTTATCATTTGTTGACCTTTACCCTTGTTTTTGGGGTAAACCTCCCCATGGCAGCAGTCTCTGTAGCCACATAGAGCTTTTCCGTAGAGGCGCAAAGTGGCTCCATGTGTGGGCTAATGCAGGAATTTTTGTAACCTGGGGGAGCAGAGTAAGACTTGGACCTCTTTGGTGAGCATCCTCAACTACATGACAGCTTTTCTAGAGCTAATAAAGCACTTCTTGCGGAACCCATCTGCAAGCCAGAGTGTACCTGTGGAGGAAAAGTGATAATTTGTACGTTTGGTCTCTTGGCAGATATTTCCTAATCTCATTAGCTGCAGCACAGAGGACAGTGAAGCACACTTCAGGACAATGATTTGGAGTGGACAGACTCAATCTAGTGGTGCTGTACCAGTTAAGCAGATGAACTGTTGGTGTCTGAACCAACTGGATGGCTTTTTAAACTGAGCTTTGTTTAATGGGTTTGTTCTGTGGGTGGGGGAGAGTAGAGGATTGTAACTTCTCTAAAGCCTGGGTATAGAGAGTGGGGTTCTCCCTCTGTTTTATTAGGGAGGATGGAAACCTGCAAATGTGTAAACCCCCTTGTTTTAAAAGGCAAGAAAGGAAGCTTCTCTGAGTCAGGCCAGAGGGAGCTGACACAGGAGTGCATGTGCCTTATGGTCTGTTCTGGCCTCTGAAGGAAACAGGCCCAATGTGAGTTTATCCGTGTGTAGTTTATTGCAAGCCTTCAATAAAACAAAGGAACTTTTGTCTTGAAATGCTGGGTTTCATGAATCCAGGCCAGGTGCTTCTAACTGAAAGCAAACTCTGTGCTAGAATTAGAACTCTATCAAGGAGGTTGGCTCGCCTGAAAAGCAAATAGCCTGGTTATCGAAGGCTTTGGCATTTTAAATTGGCTCAAGTTTTTTTTTTTTAAAGCCGCTGCATGTGAGGTGGCTCCCTGTGTAGATTCAGGTACACAGCATTTACTGCACACTCTCACACATTGCATCAGGCCTGTTTTGCTCTAAAGGAAGCAGCTGCTCAAATCAGTCCATGTAACAAATTGTTTTTAGCCCAGAACATGCTGTTTTGTTTGTGTTTGCTGTGTAGCTGGATTACATCATTGAACAGAAATGTCATCAAGCATAAGAACATCCTGCAAGTGAACAGCTGGTAACATCCAATTTACTATAGTTTGTACAGTCTTCACTTTTACTGTGTTTAGAAACTGATTATTTTTGGAAAAATAAAGCTTGTCTATTGGTCTACTCTGTAATACTGCTGTCTGCCCACAGCCAGCCAATCATTGATAACGCTGGCAGACAATGAGGTTTAACCTGTTAGGTGCTTCTACAGATTGGCTCATCAAGGGTCTTTATGCATGTGGATTTATGTAAAGGTTTTTATTAAAATTATAAATAAATGATCTAGATTATTTTCCTGTCTGTTTTTCTGAAAATACTTTCTAAAAAAATAAATAAAATGTTTATAGCATTCCAAAGTTTTCTTTGCTTTTTAAAAATGGATTGATTTCCAGGCCGTTTCCAGCAAGAGATCTGAAATCAGTGCCTCCAGTTAAACACGTGTGACTTTCCCTACAAGTCCTGTGAGGAAAGTTTCCCAACTCCAATGGGGTCATGGGAAGTATTTAGCGGTAGCAATCCTAAAGGCAGACTGGTGGAGCCAAACTGACCTCCTTTTTGGTGTGATTCAGAGCATTTACAAAGTACTGGTGTGTAGGTAATTAAAGAATTTCTTCTCTTCATGGCGTTAGGTTCCTTGTTTAATTTTGTTCTCAAATCTCAATTTTGTGCGGCGTGCTTATCTTTCCTCTTTTGTTATTAGTTTATCACCCTCCTGACTACTCTCATCTCTAATTTCTCTGTATATACTTTCTATGTCGCTCATTTTCCTCTGGACTTTTTCTTCTATATCCTCTAGAAAATGACACAGTAGTCAAAGTATGGAATGCTGTTGACTTATAGACATGGTATTTTCCATTTGGCATTTCAGTTCCTCATGGGCTTCGTCTTGGTATGCAAATTTAGACCAGATCTCACTTGGTATATTAATGAGTATGCACTTGGGAGAACCAGTTGTCCCTCACAAGCCACAAACGATCAGTGGAGGGGTTTCAGTTTTCAAAATACCTGCTCACTGAGCTAGGTTTTAATAAAAATTTTGGTTATTTACCTACTCTCATCTCTTTTGGTCTTGACTCCTATATTAATTTCATGAGTGTGAGGTCTGGTTTTTTTATATTCAGCACCAGCACTCCCATGGAGGTGGGGGAGAACAGGGTGTGAGTGGTGCATCATTTAATATTTGAATTGTCCCTAGCCTGCTTGCCAGAAGCTGGGAATGGATGACGGGATGGATCACTTGATTGCCTGTTCTGTTCATTCCCTCTGGGGCACCTGGCATTGGCCACTGTCGGAAGACAGGATACTGGGCTAGATGTACCTTTGGTCTGATGTAGTATAGCCTTTCCTATGTTCTTGTGTTACGTTCTAAGTATAGCACGTTACTGCAGACAAAGGGCTTGTCACATGGGGAGTTTAAACTGGACTAAGTTGAGAATGCGGTTTGAAAATGTGTACACACAGTGCAATTCATTGTAGTGCACTGACTCTGCATTTATTGCGAATTGTGGCGTCCTTTTCAAAGAGAGCTAACTTTGCTGTGAATCTGGTTATTCCAGTGTATTTGTATGCATGCAATGCTATCGTGAACTACTTTGGCATTGTTCTACGCGCTTCAAGCAGCCACTTGGAGACATGCCAAGATCTCTATTTTTGTCGCTATCTTGGGAGACGCATCGGTGCAGGAAGTTCTGGGGGCCAGCCACCGGAATAAGGGCCTTATTGTGGACATGGCTAAGTTGAATGTTTGCGAGGGCCTTATGACTGAGATGCCAAACAGTGCTGGATAAAGAGCAAACAGCTCAGGAGCACCTACGTGAAAACGCTGGATAACAGGAAAAAATCCAGCAGGGGACATGTAACCAGTCCATTTTTGAGAAGCTGCACAGGATTTTACGTAACTACATGACCACCTATCCCAGGCAGCTTGTGGGGCCTCCCGTGAGGATGGGCAGCAAGACTCATGGAAGGATGAGCACCAGGAGGCCAATAGAGCTCCCTGGAAAGCCAGTATCTCTTCTGACTTTGGACCCTGACGCCAGGTAGGGAGTAAGCGAGCCTCTTTCTTACCCTGCAGCAAGCCAGAATGGGACTGAGGAGGATGATCCTATGGAGGGAACTGCAACATGTAAGTCTTCAGAATTTTAAAAATGTAATAGTTTTTTAATTGTGCTACGCTGCCGTGCTTGCTTCTGTTTCAGCTGCCCCGTGGCCACAGCCACTATAGGAGGATGTGACCTAGAAACCTTTCCGAGTCTGAGGTCCCCACCTCCTTCCCTTCTTTGGCCCATGCGGTCCTGTCGGCGCAACCCTCCCCAATCCACCTTTTCAAAATGGCATCTACTCTGTTGTGGTCAAAGACACCCACGCATTGATTTTAGTTTACAGACTCAAGCCTGAGGCCAGTTTATTGACATACATACCAGTGCACTGGGGTGCAGTCCGAAGACTGACACCCTGAGTACCGCTCGCAGGCGGCTTTATTGCATTAAACCGCAAGCAAAGTACAAACACTACGTCATGAGTTAAGAAATGAGGGTTGGGGTCAGTCCCTCCCCTAAACCGCGAGTTAAGAAACTAGGGTCGGGGTCAGTCTCCCCTC